AGGGGAGGGGCAGCTCAGTGTTTGCGGCATGAAAGTCATGCAGGTATCAAGTGAATCTGAGCCTTTATATTAGCGTTAGAAGTATAGATTTTTCTAAAAATATGGTTCTTATAGGCAACCTTGAAAGGACCATTGACTTACAAATGCAGAATAGAATGATTGTAAGAGCATACATTTAGAAAATTAAGTTTTTACAATTGTATATATTTTTCACCCCCCAATTTTCTTCTGAATGACTTTCTCCTCCAAATTCAGTCTGTATTAATAGCCTCCTTGATCCTTCTCTGTTTAGAGTTCTCTTTATTAGTAATTAGTAAGTAGGAAAAACATTTTCAAGGCTTAAGCCAGTATCCCACTTACTAAGACTGAATCAGAAATGTACAAGCTAAAGATATACAAATACTTAATAAAAGAATATATAAGAGCAGAGATATTTTTTGAAATGAATCAAAGGCCTATATTTCTGGTTTCATGTTGTAAATCCAGTTGGATATCAACAATGTAAAGTTGCCATAATCAGTTATACAGGTATCAGGGATGACAGAGGATATTTCCAATGGCTGACTTCAAAAGCCCAAACCCTAGATCAGTGCATTAGGATTTATAAATTTAGGTGAAGTGTTTACAGAGTAAATTTCTGTACATGCCCATATCACCAACTCTTTATTTATGCCCTTTAATAAATTTGTTCCTGGATTCCTTATACATTCAATTGTGTCGTAGACATACCTGGAAAGGCCAGACCATTCTTTCATTCTGCTGGTACTTCTGGTTTTTAGAGAAGCCAGATTGTTATTCAAATTTCTGTCGATTTCCATTCCATTTTTTTTCACCACTTTCCTATATCAAACTTACCCAAAGTGCAGCCAATACTTGTGTTTTTTCATCCATGTATTTATTAGCACTATGAAATCTGGCTTTTGTTTTTATTTACCTAAGGAAACTCTTAAAGATCTCAACTGACTTTCTCAATATTAACTCTAATCTTCTCATTGTCCTTAGCCTTCATATCTCTGCAGATGTGCATTTTTGGTCATATTCTTCATCTTCCACCCATTCTTCGGTATCTCAGTCTAGGATTGTTTGTTTGCATGGAACAGGCACATTCAATTTAACTTAAGGAAAGAAAAAAAATGTAATGGAACAATATATTGGGCTTCTTGTGGAGCCTGAGAGCAGAAGGTACTCACTCAGAACTGTGTTCTCTAAAAGGTACTGGAGATTAAATGGTCAACAGATATAGTCTGTATGTACAGTAAACTATAAATTTTAAAAAGACAGGGGATCTGGCTATACAACAGTAAACTATCTAACAAATATTGAGCAGGGGCTACAATGGTGAAAAAATAGCTTTCTGCTATAAGGTGTTTTGTTGTCTTGAACATCATTTACTCAAAAGCCACCTTTAAGCTTTAACATAAATTAATTAAAGTATTAACTAATTATTTAAAATCCCTTGAGAGAGGATTGGATTAGCTCAGCTTGAGTCAGGTGTCTATTGTGATCCGATCAGCTACAACCTGGGGGTGGTGGTGTTTGGAGTCATACGGTGCTAATATAGAATTTAGACATACTGGCTCAACCGGGAGTCATGAACAGTTCTCAGAGGAGCAATTTATACCCTAAATTGTACACATATTTGAATTCAATTATAGTACTTTACTGATTCTCTTTCTATCATATTTGCTGTTTCTTCTTTCCTTCTTGCTTCCTAACTTTGGGATTTGTCTAAAGATATCCCCTCTTGTCAGTACTCTTCCTCTTGAAATTTCATGGTTTTGCATATCACTGATATATAGGTGAATCTGAAATCTATATTACCAGATTTTATTCACTTCCTAATGCCTATCTCCCAAGTTTATTTGGATTAGAGGCCTCTACACTTGAATGTCTCACAGGTAAATCATAGTCAATATGTCCAGAATAGCACAGACCATCTGCCCATATTCCTCCATCTAATTGTCTTGATGCCAACTCCCTATTACTAATTATATAGGGTCAAAGCTTTGAGATTATTTGTATATCCACCCTCACAATTTCTTTTCTCACATCTCATCAGTCATCAAACTGTATTGGTTTAGCTTCTATTTAATCTCTCATCTTCTTTTATTCTTTTTTTATTGTTATTGCCCAAACTGCAGTTCAGACTTTTATTACTTCTTACCTAAATTGTTGAAATAATTGCCCAACTGTTTGCTATCAGTTACTTCTCACTCCAAATAATTGAACATACACTTTCAATTTAGTCATCTTAAAGCACAGCTATAATCTCAACACTTCTGTTCTGTAATTTCCTCTAATTTATCAAATAAAACTCAAAAGTCTATGTATAACATAGAATTAGTGCCCACTGCAACTAAGAAAATGTAAAATAGTAGTGATACTTAAACAAAATAGAAGTTTATTTCTTTGAAGTTGCTTTCATACTGGTTCTGAGCTGGTATGGTGATACAGGACCTAGGTTCCATCTAACTACCTTCTCTGCTGTACATGACTTATTCTTAAGGCCATCTCATGGTCCATCATGGCTGCTGAAGCTCCAGCAATCACAGTCATGCTTTATGCAGCATAATTGAAGGGCATGAAAAGGACTTGTTAGTTTTTTAGGGGACTTCCTACAACTAGTATCTGAATTTTACTTATATCATACTGGCTAAAACCTAGAGATATGTATGTACCTAACTGCCAGAAAGAATCTTTTAGTAAGAAATGGAGGAGAATGGGCATTGATATAGGCAGCTAACTATAAGTCTCTGCTACAGATTGTCATTCAATGCCATTTACTATTGTTCTCAACTGAGCATTTGCATCTTCATTGAGCATTCTGTTACTCTATGCTAGGTTAAAAGGGTTTTTCTTTGTTCCTACTTGTTTTAGTTAGGGTAAATTTGAAGCAACTATTAAAAGGCCCCCAAAGTCAGTGGTTTAAGTAAGATAGAAGTTACTTATCTGACATATGAATCCAGTGAGTGTAGGCTGATGGGATAGCTCTGCTTTAGGGATCAGTGTGAAGCTCAGGATCCCCTCTATCTCATAGGGTGTTGTACTCATTGGCAGATCACAGCTGATTCAGCACAATATTTGTGTTCCAGTCCACTGGAAGGAGAAAACAAGTCTCATTCTAGAGAAAATGGCATATTTTAAATTAGAGGTGACCTGAAGTTTGCATATATTACATCTGCTCACATCTCACAGGCTTGGCCATGCGTCCATACACATGTTCCAGAAAGATCAAGAAATAAACTGTGGCTGGGTGATCATGTGCCCAGGAAGAAGCAGAGAAGGGATTTAGAAAGGGTAACTGCTGTGCTGTCACATTCCAGTTCTGTCTGTTTCAAGGCACAGCTCAAGTGCCATTTCTGCAAAGAAGCTTTTTCTGAATCTTTAAGCAGAACCAGTAATGCTTATAACTAGCAGTTGCCTACTGCTATATATTTGCCAGGAACTAGACTGTGTTATGGTTTAATGCTTTTCAAAATGCTACAAGATTGTGTCCACATTTCCACAGATAGAAGATTATAGTTCACACTGATTACACAAAGATTATAGGACTAGGAAGTGTTGGAATCATGATCTCGACTTCTGAGCTCCCACAAACTCATCCTTCCTTTTCTTTTTGGTAGTCTCCTTCATGCTGCATCATTTGTGATGTCCACTTCCTTCCTAGATTTTGAACTTCCTGAGCCAGGCCTAGTTCCTCTATCAGCCCTATCGTATCTAACAGAATACCTTGTATGTAAGAGGCTTTCATTAAATATGTACTAAACAAATGAATTGTCAGCTACAAAAATTCTGAATTCACAGATAATGTGTATATAAGGTCAATTTGGATGGAGTGTCCATGCAGTCAGGAGACTTTAATATATTCTCTTTATACAAAAATGCCAATGAGGATCTTTAGCCACTACCTTTTCTATAGAACTGCACTCATGCACTTAAAGTAGATTACATTTATCTTGGTGAAATTCTTTGATAAATTAAAAAAATTGGAATAAGTGAAATTAAAGATGCCTATATTTGCTTTCTTAAAGTTTCCTTTTGATTCCTTTGTTTTGTTTATCATTAAATAAGCATTCTTTTATATAACAATCTCAATTTATATGTGATGGGCAAAAAATTATTAAAATAGCTATATTTATTTTTCATTAAATATTTATTGACATGAGTTGTGGGAAACCAATTAAGGAGGTAAAATCTATACAGAAAGCTGAAAAACATTAGATTTCCATATTTTCTATGATTCATTACAGGCTACAATCCATATTGAAAAATAATTGACAAAATTTAAATTATTTATGAAATGTATTCTAAGCATAGAAATTTAATTATATATTGTTTTCATCCTGAGGCTTTTCTCTGCTTTAGAAATAAAATCATACAAATGCATTTTCCTCGGAGCCTATGAAAATGCTGAGATAAAATATCTCATTTTAAAATATGTATTTTTAATTTGTATTTGAAACCCTGGATATTGTGTGTGTGTGTGTGTGTGTTTGGGGGTGTGTCTGTGCTTGGTAGTGGGGAAATCAGCTTATATCACATTGACTATTATCTTATTAAGAAGAATGTTTACAGTATATATAGTTGGACTGATTCTGCTTACATGCAGAGATAAAGATTTACCTTAAATTCAACCAACACTGACATATGTGAGTAGATAAATCAGTCTTTATAATTGAAGCTGTGCTGCATTTTACCTACAAGACTTCTGGAAACCATTTCAGAAACATTTTTTTCAGAGGCTACAAAGTTATTTGACATCAGGAGAATTCTGTTTCTCAATCCAAGTATGCTAAGTATGCTAAGATCAATCCAGGAGGCATATATATATATATATATATATATATATATATATATAAATTTTACTGGTTTGCTTTTTGTGTGTGTGTAAAATATTCTTATAAGGTACTTTTTAAGAAAATAGTTATACTTAACCACTGGAAGTTAATAAATTAAAATTTGGAAGTGATAGCTGTACTTGATTTTTTCCCCCTGCTTAGGCCACCATTTTCAATCACAACAAAATTCATCTTGAGATTCAATGGAACAAAAAATCCAAAAGAGAAGGAAAAATTATTGGAACTAGCTAGAAAGGCCGTTATCAGATATAAGGTAGTGCTGTACCGTTTGATTTACTTGGTATGTGAACTTGCTCTTCTAATTGGTGGATGATTACTTGTTCTATAATATTGAAAGATGCCCAGCTGGTGAGACTCAGTGGTTGAACATCGACCCATACACCAAGAGGTCCCAGGTTCAATTCCTGATCAGGGCCCAGGCCCAGGTTGTGGGTCAAATTCTCAATAGGGGGTATGCAGGAGGCAGCCAATTGATGTTCTCTTTCATTAATGTTTCTATCTCTCCCTCTCCCTTCTTCTCTCTCTAAAATCAGTAAAGAAGAAAAATAATAAAAAATAAAATATTGAAAGAAAAAATGAGGAAGTACTTTTCTTTAATTATAAGTAAACATCGTTAAAAATATTAATGCAAATTAAAGTTAAAGTTTATAACCAAACAATTTGATGTCAAATGGCTTTTGTGGTGAAGATTTCCCATAAATTATTAGGGAATATAGCTGCCAACACCAGTCAAAGAGCCCACAGCAAAATATCGAATGCTGGTAAATAAATTTTTGACGATGAAAATTTAACTTTTTCTTTAAAAAAGCTAACAGACGTGATGTGGGATAAGAAAGCTTTCCTTACCCTTTGCTGCATGGGCACAGAGGGCTGTCGTGTTTATTAACTTCTGCCCATCTACAGTGAAGCAGCCAGTTTTTCAGCAATTTGGCATCACATTTCTGTTGAATCACATTTCATCAATATACTCTTCCTTCTAAAATCAGAGATACATCCCTTGGTAGAGAAATAAGATAAAAATAGAAGAAATCCCTGGAAAACAAAGAGTGAGAATTATTTTCAACAAATAACTAATGATATGACTTAGAATATTATCAAACATTTTCTACATTTTAATACTAACACAGTTTGCATAAAGGGTCAAGAAATAAAACTAATGAAAATAAAAGATAAAAATACATAAAATTTTATATAACTCGAGCCACAGAGCATCAGCCTCATAGAATGACTTTGAACATATACTTACGGGTTAATTTAAATAAATAAATAGGTAAATAAATAAATAAATAAATAAATAAATAAATAAATACATACAAACAAGCAAACTGTATGATTTTGTTGGCTTCTCTCATGTTTCCCCATCACAGAGAAAACTGGGTCTCAGAACCTTGAGCACCGGGAAGCATGTCCATCTCCCTGCTGCGTGGGTTGAAGTATCTTATCTGGCTCAGTGCAAAGGAGAAATCCAAGATGGTCTGTGCTCTACCCTCTTTCCTAGTTACCATACGTGTTTTCTAGATTATCAGTGAAGGCGTAATTTGAGACCTTTCATATTTAGAAATTGTGCAGGATCCAAGAAAAATTTGCCTTTCTCTATCGAAATGCCTGATAATGTTTCTTTGTGAAAGTTCTTTTTGTAATTTTGAATTAATGAATTTACTCAACTTTTTAATTACAAAATTGTTTAAAAATCTTTTGCTCAGCATAGTCTTTATTGCCTTTTTCTAAAATTAGTAACTAATTAAAAAGTAATATAAAGTGTCATTTAGTGATTTTCAATTACAATAGGAGCTATACTTTAGAGAGACTTGATTCTGCATTTTATAATTCTTACTCATAAAACATTAACCAAATGGCTGTTAGTTTTTTCACCAAGTTTTCACTTATTTTAAACAGCCATTTTACTCATTACCTTTTCATTTATCACTTCTCACTTGTAGCCTCCTTTCAAACTACCCTCCAACTAATCTAAGAAAGAAATTAAAAACAATTATTTTTAAGGAGGTAGAATTGCTTCTATCATTATCCTAAATTTTATGTGTATGCCTTTTAAAATGAGCTTTTAGAATGTGAGGTGTATGAGGTCAGAGAGTATTTCTCCATGTAAATTGGGTTTTGAAGTGCTGTCTGGGAGCTAAACAACAGGAAGAGTAAGAAGGATTTTGTATTTAACTGGCCTATGGGCACTTCGTCACAGTGCCATCCACGGTGTGACCCCTATTAAATGTTTAAATCATAAGGAAGTAAACACTCTTGGCTAGCCAGCAACCAGCAGCCCCTGGCTCTTCTTTGTCAATTAAACCTTAGTTTTGTTCAGGTATCATGCAGTCAGGTGATTCAGAAGAGGATTGGCCTTTCCTAGCTTCAGGGGGTGAATCGTGTTTGATCAAAACTAATGAAGGCAACACCCCTTTAAGCTTTACTGATTAGATCAGGGTCCTGATCAAGAAATGTGAAGAGAGTCTGTTTGGGATACTTATATTTTGAATTGCTTTTGAAAAAGACCTGCCTGAGATAAAGCACCCCTTCCCTCCCTGTCCTCCTCCTGATTCTTCTCTAAGTGGCATGGAAAGAACGGGATGCCTGGCTCTTGTGCGGTCATCCCAGACATCGGGTCCTCCTGGGGAACCAGAAGACGAGAACATAAGCATACAGAGGGCAGTTATATTAGCCAGCCTTGGAGCCTAACTAACTTTGATCTTGAGAAGTTATAAACACACTTATTTTGAAGACACTTTGTGAGTTTTCTGTTGCACACAGCCAAAGCTCATTAAGCTATTCAGCTCTAAATAAAAACCCTAATTATAATTTCTTCTTACCAGCTCCACAGCTGGAAATACCCTCCTAATCAGTGTCCTGCTTTACTCTGTCTACACGTTCCTTACTCTACTGTCCACCCTCCATTCAGCAGGGGCCATTCTAAACTTTAAATAAGTTCTCGTACCTTCTGATTACACCTAAAAAGAACTCCAACCTCATATTGTGAGCGGCTCGGCTCCGAATGATCTGGCTCTTGGCTGCCTCCCCTACTGTTCCATTATGCTGTAGTCATAGTGGTCTCCTTCCTGTCCCTTGAACATATCAGGGCTTTTCCTTTCTCAAGTCCCTGCATTTGCTCTTCTTCCTCAGTTATTTACATGACTACTCCTCAAATCTTTGTAATGACTTGGGGTGCAATTTTCTTTAGGGCTTTAGCTCTACATTCTTCCTCGTTCAGTTCCACTGGGCCTTATTTCCTCTTCCTTGATTTCCCATCTTCTCTTTCACAGCACTTATCTTTAACACTGTCTTTTGTCATCCAATTCTGTCCTGTTTCCCACACTGTTATGCTTGTGGCCTGGTGATCTATTTTGTGTTGGCTGAAAGAGCTGGGACTCCTTGGACTCACCCTCTCTTTATCTCCCTCATCTCTAATCAGCTCTATCTGCATAGTCTTTCCAGCTTTGTGACTTCTGAATACCGGCCTTCCTCCATGGCAGCTTAAGGTTCCAAAGCTCCCATCGTGAAAGAAAGGTCCAGGTAGCAGCTGTATTGCCTTTTCTGATCTGGCCTTGGAAGTCATGCAGTGTTACTTCTGCCACAGTCTATTGGTTGAAGCAGTCACAAGGCCTGATCAGGTTCAAGGGGAAGGGGACACCCCTCTTGATGGGAAGGGAGTCAAAGAATTTGTAAGTAATTTAAAATTACAATCTGGTCTTATGACTGAGCAAATAGTTCATTTTAAGACTTAATTGTAGCATGTAAAAAACAGCATAATTTATCAATAACAGAGTTTCTACTTTTTGATTTTTCAGAAGCTTTAAATATGCTTTATAGTTCCTTGGACCATGCTTTCTTTGGTTGTGATCATCTACCTGCCTTATTTTTTCTTGCGGAATCAGTTTTATATAGACTCTGTTGTGATGCATTCCTAAAGACATACTTATATTCAGTTGAAATAAAGCTGGCAAAGGTATGTTTTACAATATTTTTAATTGCTATGTGTACTATGTGTAGCCACACAACCTCTGTTTTAGGATCTAAACAGTGCATTTGGTTTTATTGGGGAATATTCTCTCATTTGGCAGTTTATTTCAATCTTCTCTAAATGTGGGTAACACACTATTTATATCCATAGATAGTTTGAGAAAATATATCTCCAACTGTGTAAGAAAATAATATTTAATTAAAAAGTAAGTTCCTTATTCGTATATCTGAGTATATATAGTTTTTCTCCTCTGTATTTTAAGAATTTTATTTTTTTTATTTATTAATTTTTTTTTTATCCTCACCCGAGGACATTTTTCCATTTTTTGTTCAGGTAGAGTGGGAGGGAGAGAGAGGAACAGAGAGAGAGAGAGAGAGAGAGAGAAATCGACGTGAAAGGAACACATCGAGTGGTTGCCACCTGCACGACCGACCAGGGCCGGGGACAAACTGCAACCTCGGTACGCGCCCTTAGCAGGAACCGAACCCGGGTCTCTCAGGACCGCAGGCTGACGCTCTAAACGCTGAGCCAAACCGGCCAGGGCTGTATTTTAAGAATTTTAAAATGCCGCTTTTTCATTTAAAAATGCCAACAATGGGGGAAAAAAGGAGGAACATCTGTAATACTTTCAATAATAAAGATAAATTTTAAAAAATGCCAACAGATAACCTGCAATGCTTGCTCCTTCTGAGAAGAGCGGTTTTTCTCTCAGCATCCCAGTCATTTTAGAGCCATCAGATGAGACATCATCTTCAAATAGCTCATTTTATAAGCTCCTGGCCTGATGTCATGCGGTTCTATTCCCTGTTGCCTGTTGCAAAATATACTGTTAGCCAAAGAAATTTAGCTTAACTAAGTGGTTTTATGGTTTTATTGTAAAGAAAGAAAAGGAAGACTAAAGAGAAGGGATGGGAAGAGACGGGGAGAAGGGGATGAAGATGAATATGGAGGAAAGGTGGGAGAGCAGAGGGTGCGAAGTGGACAAGCGGGAGTCTAGTCTGGAAGGCAAAGCTTGAGCTGTCCTGCCCCAGAGAGAATATGTACATAAACGAGACGTGAGGCAAGATGCACAGAAAGCTCCTGAATTCCTTAAGGATTTACGAAGGTAGATTTTTCCATGAAAATCTGGCCTTTTTGAATATTATAGTTTTAAAAACCATTTTCCAAGCATAGCTATAAGTAAGGATAGCCTCCAGCTCAGGTAAAACTCATGGCCAAATTGGGGTATAATACAGTGATAATTGAAACTGATTTGCTTCTCATGTATTTTTATATTTCTCTCGCATTAAATGTTAAAACATTAATATTTATTTCAACATCGATCTTTAATCCTTAGGAAAGTCCTAAATTATTTTCTTCTGACTAGTTTTTAACTTCAGTCTCTTAGAGAGGCACAGTACTATATCAAAGTGGTCTATCTGATGAGATGCCTTGGATACGCCCTATAAACATTTTATTTTTATTTAATTTTTTAAGTGTATAAATGGTGTATATTTATAATTTATGGATACATTTACAAATATTGTTGAAGCATTCTCAGAATTTATTTTACTGATAGAAGTTTATGATTAAAAAAATGGGTAAATCACTGCCATAATGGAAAGTTCATAACTTTTGGTGCAAGACATATAGTTCTGGGTTCAAAGTCTAGTAATGCCACTTATTTGTTTAATAGTTGTGGGTGAATCACTGAGACTGAGCAGAATCATTTTTAGAATTTTGGTTTTTTTTTACATGTAGATTTAATAATTCCCTGCATTGTTTGGATAGACATATGATTTGATAGTGATAGTTATTTTTATTATTTGGTTCTTCATGAACTTATGAGTTAGCAACTTAGGCTCCTGTGTTTTCTTTATCTCTATACTTTGAGGAGGGTTTTTTTTTGGCCATTATCTGTGAAATCTTGCATATCATATGATTTTGAAGATATTTCACTTTTTTGTCTATGTGAAAAAACTGTTTTAGTTATACATGTATTTTAAATTTCACAGAAGTAAGTTATTACCTTTATTTAGTAATGACTTGATTTTTCATGAGGGAATGGGGATCTTAGTACAGAATACAATGCACAGGCAGAATATTTCTCAAAACTATCTAACACCATGTTTTTCAAACTGTTTTGACTAAGGCCCATAGGGAGAAATATTTTTTGGATTGCAATACAGCACACACATTAATGCATACTCATTTATGTATAAGTGAGACAAGAAGCTGTGCTATATACTATAAAATTTTCTCTTCTCTTTTATTTTCTTTAAAAAATCTCCTCTCAAATGATTTCATGACTCACTTAAAGGGCACGACTTGCCATCTGAAAAATACTGTTCTAAAGGACACAGAACAAAATATCATTCACTGTTGGTCATTATATGTAATGTAGAGATGATTTATAAAAGTCTTTTTTAGCTGAACCAGTATTTCAACCTTGATATAAATGTTTTAAAATTATTTCAAAAGCACACAGTTTCAAGAGTTTGAAATTGTTCCATCAAAAGCAAATGTAATAAGAAAATGGTTTATTTTCTTTATGGTTTTTAAACATTTATTGTTGCAGCACAAAAATGCTTTCTTCTTTTTTCTTTTGACAGATTGCCTATTTGATCTTCTTAAGACTTTTTATATATTTCCTGCATGGTCACCTAGAAAGTTTTAAACAACATTTACTTAGACTTCAACCTTATTTATATGGTAGGCTATCTTTTATTTTCTACACTTATAAATGTTTTATGTTATATTTTGAGAAGCTCAGACTATCACTCTAAAGCTGTGTTTCATTTTTCTTGAAAGATAATAGGTGCAATATTGAAGACCACAGCTTCCGAACCAGATTGCATGGGTTTTTACTTTAAACTTTTCTACTTAATACTTCTATCACCTTGTCTGACTCAGTTTTTTTGTATGTAATACTATCTACCTCTCTGGATTGCAGGGAAGTTAAATTAATGTTTTAGTCAGGTAATACTAGTGGTGATGGAAATGTTAGACTTGAGTAAGGAGGCGTGGATGTGGAAGTTAAGTAGCTATGACATCAGTATACGCAAGAGATGTTCAATATGTGAGCAATTAAAAGGAGAATAGGATAGAGTAAAATAGCCTTAAAAAGATACGGGACTTAGAGATCAATTGGATCTAAGCTATATATAAGGGAAAGTGAGGAATTCAAGAGGAACCTCAAGTTTTACATGTTGATTAAAAGGTTCAAGACAATGGTGTCCTAAACTGGGAAAATCTTGGAGAAACATTGGACATACTGAATTTGAAGGTCACTTAGGTATATATACTAAGCTGGCAGTTGGAAGCAGGTTTGGAACTAGAGCAATAAGTGAAGGCTGGGATTCACTTACTTCACAGATATTGACGTGGATGAATTGACCGTCTTCCATGTTAATGTAGCTGAGACAACCTGAGGGTGGGAAGTGGTGGTGGGTATAAATTAATTCTAGAAATAGATTCTGGGGGACGTTTAATAGAGTATTACAGTAACAGACATCAGTGAATGAAAATTGAGGGAAATAGGAAGAAGTGATGGCACAGAAATTCAGAGGGAAGGTTCAAGAAGGTCAACATTATTGAGAGCTGTAGAAATATTGAATAATAGGAGGAATGAAAGTGATGATGGGTTTCTGCAACCAGAAAGTCACTGTTGACCCTGGGGGCATTCTGCAGGGAGAGGGGAAAGCAAATTCAGATGGAATGTAAACAAAGAGTGAAGGGGAAGTTTAAGCATGAGACAGAGACGGTGAATGATTTCCAAAAGCTTAGCTATACAGGGAAGAACAAATATGCCAATAATTTGGATTAAAAAACAAGGTCAAAAGAAGAGAAGATTGGTATATTGTAGGATAAGGGATGAAGAGACTTAAGATACAAGTAATGGAATAGTGTTTGATGACATGTCATGGCGGAGGGAACAGAAGGTTATAGCGGGTGTTTTGGAGACTGACTGGTACGCACCTCCAGTGCAAGTTCTGATAGGCATGCACCTAAGAGGGGGCTGTAACCTGGCAGAATAGGAATTCATGCCTATCACATTTCTCATTTTGCTTTCATCATTATACTATATTTCTTTTCTTTAATTCTTTAGTGTTCAGCATACCGACTTACTAAATATTTAGATGATGGTGGCAAGTAAATTTTGAAAACTTATTTGAATAAAAGTTCTCACTTTAGCCTGTTATTGTGGATATATCCCAAGAAAACCAACATCTTTGTTTCATATATAAATAAAATCCCCAGATTTTGCCCTTTAATCAAATATTGTTAAATACAGCCTGACTTAGGCTATACCTTTGTCTTCAACAATAGGCTGATTCCCACCTGAGACTATTAGAAGACACTGCCTACCCATATAGCGATCCAGGAAAAGATTGGTTATGAAGAATTTTTCCATGCTGTTCATAAATGGAAACTCAAAGATTATCTAAAAGTTTATAAAAAAAAAAACAGCACAAAGATGGTTCTGTTCAATATCACATGGTCTAATGTTAAATGACATAAGTGCTGCTAAGTTCAAAATATATACTTTTAAAAATTAATAACATCTTGAGAAGGAATAAAAATGGAGAATGTTGGCTTAAAAGCAATGACATTAATTTGTAGGATTACAATTTTAAAGTATCTGTTATGAATATAGTATGTTATAACTCTATTTTCTTTCAGCTGAAAGTTTCCAAGCATTGTTGTACAGCAACTATTCTTAATCGGGCATTTGGCCATTATGCAATTTATATAATATAATCTTAGTTGTATATATTTTCATTTATGAATTATTTACCCTGTAGGTTTATGTTACACCACTAGGGGGCATACATAACATTATAAATCCTGAATAGATGGGGGAATGTATGGCAGTTTCAGCATCCAAGTACCGAATTTAATTATATTTTAATAACTAAAAGACAAATGAAACACTATGCAAGATATTAATGAACTATTTCTCACAAATTTTTATTCTTACAATAGCACTTTATTTCTCTGAAGAATCATATTACAATTATCCAAACATTTTTTCAAATATACAATTTGTTCTGAAAACCATGGAAATTATATGTACAAGAGAATTATCTGAATCAGTTTTTAGCCCTGTGGAAAACAATATGCAACATAAGAACATAGATTCTGATACGGTGAGTCCATTCTAATGCATGATGAATCAAATTAATATTTTTATGATTAAATAGTTGTGCTTGTCAATTCAGTAAACATTTCTGAAGATGAGTTTTGCTGGGGGAGTAGAAACACTAAATCTATGCCACCAGGAGGAGGAGTTAATTGGATTAGTAACGGGGCTTCAATATGCAGCACTACTACTTTAAATATGTTTTTATTGATTTTTTTAGAGAGAGAGGAAGGGAGAGAGAGATAGAAACATTGATGTGAAAAAGATACATCAATCAGTTGACTCCTGCATACCCCCTACTGGGGATTGAGCTGGCAACCCAGGCATGTGCCCTGACCAGGAATCGAACCAGGACCTCTCAGTCTATAGGACTGACGCTCAATCCCCTGAGCCACACCAGCTGGGCTATCACTACTACTTTAAATAGAGTAATGCCATAATCCCTTCTTCCTTGTAGAATCCACCTCAGCTGTTTAAATGAAAATTGCAACATAATTTAGTTTGACTTATAAACGAACATTTTAAGATATTACATTTTTATTAAAAGGAAAGTGTGTAAAGTGCAGGCTATTAATGATAACAAGTGTAATATTTCTATGCTTCCATAATTCATATGTAATAACATTTAATATGCTATTAAAATCAATGGGAAAAATGTAAATGGTTTAAAATTGAAAAATTAAAATAATCTCTAGTATATGAAAAATCTCCTTTCAATTTCTAACTCAGATATTAGTCATTAACATTAGAGACAACGTGCTGTCCCAATTATTTAATTCCTAGGTATGTAATAAACTATTATGCAGATGTAGTACGCAAACAGAACTACAGTAAGTCATGTAATTATTTACATACCTTTTGAGCTGATGTTTGTCACATGACACATTTCAATCTCTGAGGTTCATAATGTCTTCATTTCCTTTTCTTGCATATATTCCAAAATAAAGCAGTAAACATTGCAAAACCTTGATTCTTTTATTATCTTATTTTTATAAATATAGTTTTATTGATTTTTAGAGAGAGAGAGGAAGGGAGAAGGAGAGAGATAAATATTGATGTGAGAGAGATACATGAATCGGCTGCCTTCTGCATGACCCCTACTGGGGGATCAAGCCCACAACCTGGGTATGTACCCTGACCTGGAATCGAACCAGCAACCTTTCAATGCACAGGACAATGCCCAACCAACTGAGCCAAACAAGTCAGGGCTTATTTTTGCTGTCTAGACTTATCATTCTGGAGTTTATAAATAGAAAAAAAGTTTTTCTATTTGATTTGTTTTTCTTAAAATGGAGAAAATACATTTAACATAATGCAAGTTGAAACAACTTAAGGAAATTTAAGGAAGATTAGCTTTTTCAATAGTTTTATCTAGAAGTTGCCACACAGTCTTCCCATGTTTCCTCTGGGCCCTTTCTAAAACTAAGATTTACAAGTATAAGGAAAAACGTTTACATCTATTTTTAATCTTTCTAGGCTTTGGTGTTTCCTCTTTGGCTCATAACTTGTGAACCATTTACACAGAGTGACACATACTGAGTAATTTGAACCTTTTGGTTCTAAGTACTAATGAACACAAATTGCTGTGTGCATGAAAAGGATCTTGTTTTTAAGTTTTAAAATGTTTTAACAATAAATATATAACCTAAGATATTGAACAACAGAAAGCGCACTAATCATGAAGAGGAAAAACCTGCTGACCAACTGTCTGTGTAATCCAGAGGTGGTACTTTAAAATCTCCAAATGCCATTTGAATATCTTTAAAAAAGGCATCACCCAGCCCTGTCTGGGCGGCTCAGTTTGTTGACTATCATCCCATGCAACAAAGGGTTGTTGGTTTGATTCCTGGACATGGAACAGGAACATGCCCTGGTTGCAGGCTTGATCTCCTGTAGGGGGCATGCAAGAGGCAGCTAATGGATGTTTCTCTCTCCCTCTCTCTAACTCTCTCTCTAAAAATCAATGAAAAAATCTTAAAAATAAAATACATCACCTTACACTGTAAAAATATAAAAATGTCAAATCACCATATTGTACACCTAAAACTAACATAACTAATATATTGTATACTAACTCTGCTTTAAAATGACGTGTGCAATATTCTTAAACTTCTCTGAGTTGCTTAATATAACCTTTACTTTTGAGATATGTTTATTTTGAGGTAACTGATCTCATTACTGACCTTCCAAGAAAAAAAAAAAAGAAAAGACATCACCATCACTGTCATCATCATCATCATCATATTTTCCCTAACTAATCTATAGGGTTGTTGTGACAATTGCAAAAGAGAATGTGCCTTGTATATTGTTAAGTGCCATGCAAATGTAAAGGATGATTATTGAAAAATACATTTAGGAATTCACTTTAACTTAGGCAGCTAAATATACTAATTTTCATCTAAGGATATGATTCTGCTGACTAAATGATTGTGCTTAACTATGTAGTTAACTGTGCTTACTTAATGTAGTCATTTGAGTATTTTCCCTTTAAACAAATAAGATGCTGTGAAGTCTTCATGACATGAGTGTCCTGGTCAGGAGGCAGGCAACCTTCAATGTTGATCATGCTTCTCTTTAGGAATCAGTCTGGTTTTGTCCCTCTTGGTGCACAGACACGCGTGGAAATGGAGGCTTAGTGTTACAGAGCTTGTCTTGAACTACAAGGGGCAATAATTTCAACACGTGCCAAGAATGTATCTCCTTAGAGTGGGACCAGTCCCTGTGTGTCTATGCCCTTTTCCACATTTTAGGACTAAGAACATAGTTCCAGTCTTCTCTAAACTCTGTGTCAGCACTATAGGTATAATTCTGTGAAGAGATTATAACAGATTTTAACCTATCAGATTTATTGCTCTTCTTTTTCTCCTCCCATTACCTCATAATATAAATAATACAATGGGCAGTGTAGCCATAGTGCTGCTAAAATTGCTGGTTGAGCTAACTGATTCGGTGCTTGATTACACAGTTTAATGCCGTGCCCCAGTCTCAGCCCACTTTCTCTGGTATTCATCTAAGCCAGCCTCTCCAGTTCAGTTGAGTATTAATTCATTCAATATGGGAATGTAAAAGATACATTTGTATTCCTTCTCTCTCCCGTCTTTATTATTATTACGCTATAGTAGTGGATTTGTGGATTTATTTCCACAGCTCGTATCCTTTAATAATGCTAAAAGGTCCATGAGAGCATACTTGGGCCACTGTAAAATATTTCATTTTTAATATATTTATAAGCACTGGAGCATAAGCATAATTATTTGATTTGTTTTCAAAGTGTTGCTATAAAATAGCTGGAATAAAAAGAATTTTGTAGACATACACATTAGGATACTCACAAAATGGGTGTCGGTTCTATTTAAGAATAAGGCATTTCCTTTTCCGGCTGCTGGAACCCATTTCTCCTTTTAATATCCTTTTAAGCTGAGCCAGACACAGGGTTTCCACCGACTTTGACAAATGGTACACTTTAATTAGCTCTGTGGATTGCAGAGCCAGACCACTGGATTGAGTTCTCACTCTGTCCTTTGCTCACTAGCAAGGCTGAATTTGCCAGTTGTCATATGATAATAACAGAGCTCTTTGGAGAAGGTAGATTCAAACTCAACTGAAATGCTATAAACTCTTTACAGAACAGTTGCAGCTGTCCTCAAGTACAAATTGTTTTCTGCAAACTAGAAAACACAGAGAGTTCGCATTCAAATGGAATCAGCAGTCTCATCCTCTGATGCTTTAAGTACTTGGTACACCAAAAGTATTATCTAAATTTAGGACATTTTGTGCTGTACTGTAATTGTAAATGGTTACTAGGAATTGGGTTAGACTTAGACACAGGTTCTTTAAAATTATGAGTGTTAGTCTATGATTCATGTCCTAATATCCAAGCAACACATTTGTACTGAGAGGTCCTTTCATGGCAATGTCAACCATTCCCCAAATGACTGAAAACAAGGATGAAACCCAAAAAGCTGTCTCTGAGCAGCCAAAATAGAGCCCATGCTTTCAAGCTAATTTATTTCTGTTATAAAAGAGAGCTTGGTCAGACACTCAGAGTTTGTGTACTCAACTTTGCACAAAAGTCAAGTTGATTGGTCATCTGAATTCTCAGCCAACACTTGTTTTAGGTGGGCGTCTGAAAGTAGGTGCTCTACAAGCTGACACTGATAGCCTGTTGGAGGAGGTAATCTAGAGGAATTGACCTCCAGTAGACCCTCAAGCTAGCTCTGGGCAATCAGAGCTCCTCACTACCTCCCCTGTCCTTGAAATGTACATTCTACTCACCATTCCCACAATGGGAGCCGTTTTCAAGGATGCAACAGTGACAAAGCAATGTGTTGTTGAGACCATCCGGATGGTATATGTGACTGAACCCGGTTAAGGTCTCTATATGAACTTCAATATTCTGGTGGGTGAGTGTGCAGATCTACTCCTCCTGTGGCCATCCTAGACAAGCCTGGTAAGTTGCCTTGCTTATTAAACCTGTTACCTCCAAACTGGAGTGGTCTCCTCTTTCTTAGTTCTGCCCTGCTCTTCATGCACAGCAGCCAGTTTGCAAACCCTCATATCACAAAACTGGACAAGACAGCAAGGGTGAGATGAAAGAACTATAACACGTGGTCACAAAGCCAAAAAATAGGAAGAAAGAGAGAGAGGGAAGTAGGGGGGGAAGAGGAAAAAATAAAATGTTCTCTGGAAGTCATTTAATGCAGTGTTTATTGCTTTTCAAACTATCTGGGGCAAAAGATCCCTCTTCACTTTTGCCTCATGTACTTGGAAAATTCACAGGTGTAGCAAATGTATCATTTGCTCTTGAAACCAGTGACCACCAATGTGCATTTAAGCAAAGTGGGTTTATTATGTGTTGCAGAGAGAGAACACGTGTCCAAGGAACCACAAGATATCTTAATAAGAGTGTGTGAGAATGGACCTATTACAGGATTTGGACTTTGGGTGATTGTGGGAGGCTATAAAGATTTGATCGTGCCAGAAATAAGGGACTTTTCCATGACTGGGTATTTTGTAGGTGGCACAGTGACTCTTTGTCTATGCTTAGAAAAACATTATCAGGTAGCTTTGTTTGCTTATGTGTCCTGTTCTCAGAGCACCACTGTCTGAAGTTGATGTTCTGTGAGTTTATATCCAACAGGAAAACAAAATGACCTGGTTGTGAGCATCACAGTAGCTTGTAATAATATTGATGTCAAATCAGTTCCAGACATCAGAGGCTGCTTTTACTCTTTCTCAATGATGAGTAAAAATGGTATCATATAAAACTCAAAATAAAACTTAAATCTTGTTCAATGTTCAAAATCCTGATCTTTTCTTTACCAAATGCTTTTGGGAATTTTCTCTGGTGATGGTGCATAGGTTTGTTAACAAGAACTTTTGACCTAATAATCTGTGTAGCCATGCAGTGTACATTATGAACAAAAATAAAGTGTTAAATTAATTAGTTAAGCCAACCACAAGTTTCAAAATATATCTATTTATGTATTGGTTTTAAATAAGTTTGCAACATCACGCATCCAGGCTGAAACATCTAGAACAATTTGAGAAAAGAATTTCATTTTTATGGGTCTGTTTTTTGGGTGGGCTCAACTGCAAAGCATAAAATTGAGTTATTTGGATAAAATATATTTACTGAAGTCAGTATGTCTGAGTCTGATATTTTACATTATTTTAAAATAAAGCTTTTCTATAGAATATTCTAACATTGTAAACAATGACTTGTTTCCCTTTGCTTCTCTGAATGATTGTTTCCCAGAGTCAGTAGCCATGTTCAAAAACTTGAGCTTACCCCTTTATCTTTGGTGTCTGAGCTCCTGACCTGAAACTGATCAGTCCCCAGTCATGGGACTTAACTAAACAGCTTATTAGAAATGTCTTAGCTCAAAATCAATGTATGAACTTCTGGCCTTCTATCTTAAGAGAATGCAACATGCAATTTTTCTATAAATTGTAATCCTGATGCTGTTATATATGACAAATGAAATTTACAAAGTCTTTTGGAATTTCTTTAAGTGTTTCTTTTGAGCACAAAAGAGTAAAATATCAGCTAGGTTAGCAATTTGAGTACATATCACAGGATGTGTATTTGAATCTTTATTGTTGACAAAAATTCAATGAGAATGCTATGTTATTGTTGTTTAAAAATAAAATCAGGTTTCTTTATACCAATCACTTGAATAGACCAATTCAATCTATAAAATTGTTAAAAAGTACTCTTAGAAAAAACAAACTAATAACTGCCCATTTGTGTTCTAAATTTGTAGGCTTTTAAAATTCTTCACAGACATTGACCATGTCCATCAAGTCATGTATTTTGGTCCATAAAGTGGAAATCCACATTTAAAATCTAATTTGTTGATTGATCATTGTTCAAACTTTCCCATCCCCTCATCCTTGAAGAGCTAAGTCATTTAGAGTCTAGGAAGCACAGTTGTGTCTAATAGTTGCCCCTTGAAGAATATAGGATTTTTGTTATACTATAGACCTGATGTCTTTGAATACCAGGGTCCCATGTGAAAATATATTAGGACCTTAAGTTCAGGTTAATGTACAAAATGTGTGTGTGTTCATGTATTATATTAAATAAATCATCGTGTACATCATCATCATGTATATAATAGATATATATTTAATATACATATATAACCATATTTGAGTAAATTGCTCCACTTGGAGAAACATGAAGTGCAAAAAAAATTGCATTCTCACTTGTATATTTAACTTTTATTTTATGTTTGTTCAAGTCAAAGCATTCTTTTCCAGGTATATTTTTATATTTTAATTTCAGGAAGGGTATGAAGTAAACACCCTGCTCTGGCACTGCGTTGCTGCTTGGGCCTGTGTTCAGAAGGATAGTCCTCAGTTGAATAAGGTGCTTGAACATGTCACCTTTCTTAAAACACAGCTTCAGAAGAAATGCTGGTAAGAGGGATCCTGTAAATCCAAAATAACTCATGGAGAAGTCTTTATGTTTAAATGTTAAATAACCTTTGTACTTAAATGTTAATCACACCTTAGTTGGCTATGAAAAAAATTTATAATCTCAGTTCCAAAGGCAAGGGCAATTTATATATTTTGTATTAGTTCATTTCATCAATAAATTGTTCCTGTTTCTTTCTCTCTCTCTCTCTCTCTCTTTTTGGCTAGATGAGCATGCATGTATTACATAGTTTGTCTTCATTAAATGAAAACTATCATTAATAAATTTATTCCCATATATAAAATTTTTTAAATTTTCCATCTTGTTAAACAATAATGAACTACAGTTTGTTATTTGGGGGAAATATTTCTAAGATGGTTTGTTATGCCTTACTTGTAATGTCTAACAAAAATGAACCTTGACTGATAAGTGTTAGTTTCCTCCTGTATGATGTTAATGTGAGAAGGGAAAAATAAGTCTTAAATTACTACAAAAGAGGGCAGGGGTTCAATGGAGGAAAGAAAAATTTTAAAGGAGTATTTCTGAGGAAATTGATCAGAGATATCCCTTTTAATTACTTGAGGACAAGCAGAATTCCTTTTCCAGTGCCAACAACAATAATCTATTATGCCATCTCAAGTTGCAAATGCAATGGTCATATATTTTTCTTAAAATTAATTCCAGTTTTTTTGTTTTGTTTTGTTTTTAGTTAATCCTTACCCGAGCATATTTCTTCATTGATTTTTAGAGAGTAGAAGGGGAGGGAGGATGAGGAGGAGGGGAGGGGGAGAGAGAGAGAGAGAGAGAGAGAGAGAGAGAGAGAAACATTAATGTGAGAGAAACCCATAGATTTGTTGCCTCCTGCACATGTCCCGACTGGAGTCTGGGGATCAAATATGCAACCCAGGTACCGGCCCTTGACTAGGAATGAAATCAGAGACCCTAAAGTGCTTGGGCTGATGCTCTAATCACTGAGCATACCAGCTAGGGCAAAATTAGTTCCAGTTTTTAAGCCTTTGGCAGCCTACTCTGCACCAATTGTCTTTGTGTACTTTAATTATATGAATCTGGAGCATGTTTTTATGAACCAAAGCTGCTTTCCCAGTTACATTTGGAAGTATTGCGGAATCCAGATTAAGTAAGGTTTCTGGAGGATGGCTTCAAGTTTGCCTAATTTCCTAGAAATAGCAGAGTTTAGAAGAGAGTTCATCAAGAACTTATATGTCTCATAGTCTGATGGGAACAACCTACTCAAGTATTGCAGTTAACAAAGATCATAATTCTCTTATATTTTATTTATTTTTTTAAGTCTATTTTTATTGTTGACAGTATTAAACATGGCCCCACCTCCACCCAGGCCCGCCCTCCCCTTCCCTCTGGCCATCACCACACTGTTGTCTGTGTCTATGTGTCATGCACACATGTTCTTTGGCTAATGCCTTCACCTTCTTCTCCCTCTAGTGAGGATAGCATCTTTAAATAGAAAAATTTTAATCCCAGTAGAATATATCTATTATATTAGTAATACAGGATATAATTTTAATAAGTATGTATTAATATAAAGCTGCTAAATATAGGGAAAGTTAGAGTTTTATTGGTGCAAACTAGGCTGTTCTGAAAGCCATGGTGATCCTTTCAGACCACTCTTATTATAGAAAAAAATCGTAGGGGATTCAAACACATAATTTTGTTTTCAAAGGACAAGCAACTAGAGCTACTTTAGCTTTTGGAAGACTCTTACTTGGTTTTAAAAATAACAGGCATTATATTTTGACATATAAAAATAAATATTGCATGACTTGGCCAAACTTATTTTCAAAGGCGTCTGATAATGACCAAGTAAATAGGTTCAAATAAGTGCTGAAATACTAAAAGTGTCTGTTTAAGAATATCCGATTCTGAAAGTCAAGGAATTGTTCCTTTAACCAATTTTCGGTTTTATTGTATTGCATTAACATTGATCTAATTTACTTTGTTAATGATTTGTCTTTAAGGTAGTTCTTTTTTTATACTTTGTATTCTATAGATTTGGGTGTGTTGGAGATAATACAAAACTTTTTACTTTACAAATGAAGAAACCGAGGCCAAATTTATTAGGCTGCCTAATCACTAGAGCCAGCTTTTAAGGGTCTCAGTGTAGTCCTCTCTCCAGTACATCAGCTCACCATCACTCAGGCTTGCATGGCTAAGGCAAGAACTGCTTTGAAGCATCTTGTCACTGAGCCCTGACTTCTCCTTTTCTGGAGGGCATTGTGGGAATCAGCCGAGGGAGGGCGTGGCACTCTTAGTGCTGAACAAACAGAGGGGTACATTGAGAAAATGGTGAAATACAGAGACTTCTTACAATAGAAGGACAAGATAATTGTTTTAAAAAAGTACTGAGAGGTAGTTTTGATTCTATGTCTTATATTTACTGTTTTTTTAAGAAAAAGATTTATTCTTTTCTTAGAAAACAGATGACTCTGGAAACAAAAATAACCCACCGACAGAAGATTAACGTCTTTTTAAGTTAGTAGTTTGACTAACTTTTCTGTTAGTCAAATTTTCTGTTAGTCATAATAACATTAAAATGGACTTTTCTTCATATAAAGTATTTAAGTTATTTATGTAAGAGCCTATACTGCTGTCAAGAAGTCATTATGCTAGATACAACAAAACAAACCATGATGTAATTATCAAAATCAAACCAGAAATGATTTTACATGGTCTCGTGTACTCCTAAGATTGGGAACATGTGAAAAATTAGGAAAATGAACTCAATGTATTTAGAATGAAATAGAAATATTGGGACATCAGGTCTTGATAGTAAATTAAAACTTTGTCAGGATTTGCTGGGCCGGAGAGCCATAGAACTGTGACACTTGGTAGAAGGTATCTTTGGTTTAGTACGTGAAATTCAAGGCCAACTGAGTATTAACAGGGGCAATTTCATTTTCCATGCATATCAGTCAAGTACCACAATGATGAATAAATGTTCAGGGATTTAAAATGCGGAAGGAGGAGACCACTCAACTGACTGATCAGAAGACATTGTATTAATATTGGCAAAATCTGCGGGTGTCCGTATAGGCGCGTGCTTCTCCGCTGCCCCTTTCTGATGCTATCCATCCCTAGATAACTCACACGCATCTGCCTGCCGGACTTCTTCTGACCCCTTACGAAGCTCACGCGACACGAAAGGGAAGAAATGGAAGCATGAGCTTGCCGCCCAGCCTGGAGAGAGCAGGCCCAGGAACCACGAAAGGAAAGGAGACCGACCTCTGCTCTCCGGGGATTGGGAAAAGACCAAGGAAAGGAAATACAAAGAGGACAATACGTTATAAAACAGAGAGAAGAAGTAGAAAAAAAGAGACTACGCGGAGCCCCTCCCAGCTGCCAGGCACCAACCTTTCCCTTGGAAGTCTGGCTGCCCTGAGCCGCAGATAAGCAGCTTGCTGTAAGGCAGATTTCCATTTAATAGGGTTAAACTTGATCCCATGCTCCCTGCTCTCAATGCTCCACCTTGTGGTTTGGCCTTTTATAAACGGCCCCGTTTGCTCTGGGGAGATAGCTCAAGACAGCGCAAAAGGCTCTCTAATCTAACATGAAAATAATGAATTGTGTTTATAATTGAATTATTAGCCAATGAAGACAGCTGAGAAGTGTAGCCTGGCATTTCAGCAGAGCAGTATAACATAAAATTATATCTCCCAAAGCAAAAGAGCCGATTTAATGCGCTCCATGAACGTATTCCAAAAAAGCTTGACAGTTTAAAATTATATTGGCATAGTATTTTTCAGATGTACAGTATTTGTGTTTGCATCGAAATGAATAGAACAAAGAATCAACTTCTTTGCATGGGCTGGAAGACCTTTACTTCTGGCTAGATCACGGATTTCCACATTGTGTCTCTCCATGAACCCCAGTAATTATTATAGTGCTTATGTGACAGTCCAGCCAACACTAGTTGGACAAAGTTTTTATTAATAATGTGTCTCATTATTCATGAGTTGAGATGTCAGTATAGGTCTCACTCTTCTGATTTATTTCCTGGATTTCTTATTGATCCTTTGATCCCCTGAGCTAAATATAAACATTTAGTCTGTGTCAAGGGTAAATATATCAATTATGCTTTGCTGCATTATAGTACAGTGGAAAAAAAATTCAACCTCTGATCAGCAATCCTGTCTCTTGCTGCCTGTCTAATTTTGAATGTCACTTAACCCCTGTGAAGAGTCTGTTTAGTATTTAAATAGACATACCAGTCACCCCAAAGAGCTTTTGAGATATTTAAGTAAGATAAGTAATATGAAAACACTTTTTATACACTCATTCTCCCTTAATATTTCATTTCCTGCTAGTTCAGATCTGAATTAATTTTTTCTGTCTTAGTACCTGACACATGTCCTCTGCTCAAGTTAACCAAATTAGACAGCTCAACCACCACCACATTTCAGAACTGTTCCCTGTTCTTTGCTCCCACTCTCCCTGTCTTGGTTTGGGCCATTATTGTCTCATGACTCTCATAGTCTATTAATCGGTTTTGTTGCCTTAAATTTTCTCCTCAATAATCTGTCATACTCTGCAGCCAGGGCTGCAACGTAAGTGTAATTATACCATTCTCCTGCTTAACATTATTTAATAAGAACTGTTTCTCATGGCACAGGAGTTGCAGCTTCAATTAGGGTCTCACAACTTGACATGATTTTTTTTTGTTTTTAACCCTCAACTGAGGATATTTTTCCATTTATCTTCAGATAGAGTGGGAGGGAGAGAGAGAGAAGAGAAGAGAGAGAAACATCGACGTGAGAGAGACACATCATTTGGTTGCCTCCCACACAACCCTGACCAGGGCCAGGGAATGAACCACAACCTAAGTACATGCCCTTGACCGGAATCAGACCCGTGACTCTTTGGCCCACAGGCCGACACCCTAACTGCTGAGCCAAACTGGCCAGGCACAACTTGACATGATTTAAAAAAAAAGAAACAAGGAGAGCAAAAACAAAGAGTAAAAGATCCTGCTACTGTAATTAATTGCCACCAATACCATCAGAGAAGTGCCTGGTAGGGCTAAATGGAAGAAATAATCAGTGGCCCACCTGTGCTTTCTCTGATGAGACAGCAGTCATTGCCTGTTGACACTCCTCCCTTCATTCTGCTCCATACGTCTCCCTGGAGCGCCAAGAATGAAATCCTGTAAGCAGAAGAAAGAACCTTTTAGCAGACATGCTAAAGACTCGCCTTTTGTATAGTCCACCTCTTCTGAATATAAAAAAATTCAGGCAATGGTAAGAGAAATGCATTCTTTAAACTAGTCTTCCTAGATGGTCACAGTCAAGTACCCCAAAGTAAAGGCAGTTTTTCTGATTGAATAATAGGGTAAACAATAGAGAGCTATTGGTTTTTCTTTAGTTTTTCTAACTTTGGGGGGAAAGGCTCCTGTGTTTTATGAAGTGGCATGTGAACGCTCCTTATTGCTGTTCTCAACCCAATTCCATCAATTCTATGCTTTATGGAAATTCCCTATAAGCTGCTGCTCCTAGTGACCTGTCCTTCATCCTAGTTTTCTGGGTTGTGGAGATTTTTGACATCAACAATGTTTTCTACATATCTATTAAAAGATTAAAATAACCTTGTGTAGGGTTCCAATTTAGAGACATTTAATTTCATGTTTTAAAATTACAATTTGGTTATTGAGGAAACATGCAAAGGAGTAAGGAGAGCCCAGAAAAACTGTTTTGATGATGAATTTCCTAACTTTATATAAGGTTGTATGTAGAGATAGGCAGATAGATATATAGGTAGATAGATAATAGATAGATAGACAGACAAACAGCTTTCATGAAACCCTGGTATATCTTAGCTGATTTACATTAGTGTAGAAGAAACATTAGACTAGAAACAGACTAGCTGAAGTCTAGTTCAGGATCTGGTATTGTTGAGCTATCTACAGTGATTCACATTAATTTCAAAAGTTATAGAAAAACTAAAATAAAAATTAATCAAGTAAACCAACTACGCTATTGTCAGTAAACCTCTGCTTCAGCTTTTTTATTTATAAAATGAGGTGAGAATCTGTAATATTTATAAATTAGTTTGTACATGTTTAATTTCATGGCTTTGTAAAACCAAGCCAATGTATTAATGGTTGAGATTTGGTGTACTATAATGAGTTCACAAAGAAGCAAGTGCTGTGCTAAAATTTTTAAACTATCTAAGTTGAATTCTTTTTTCTACGTGCATTGAATTTTAGTTTTGGTTTTAACACATTCTAATTTATAGGCATTGCTGCTTCTATTTTATTTTTGGCCAAAGCATTTTATCTATAGAAAATTTTGTAATCAGCAGCATTGATTGAAAATAGTGTGTTTCTGGTAAAGCATTTTTCTACCGAAGGTGGCTGACACTGATGGATCTTTTTCAATCCATGTTTCAGTGAGAGTGCCTCAACTTAATTAGAATTTTCCAGGCTGGAAAGAGAACAGAAGAACAAAAACCTTATGATTATGAGGTATATTCAGGGAAAGAAGAAGTTGTTTGAACTCTGAGATATCCTCTCTACTTGACCTTGGTGTGGGTGATAAGTACTCAGGAATGATGCACTGATTGTTCACTCAGAGGGCATCTGGACTTCTCTCTTCAGTCACTCTAGGACTTCACGGGGAAAGAAAGTTATCAAACTCATAGCCTTTGAATAGTACTTTTTAAATCAATTCAGTTCAGTATTTTGAACCTGGCTGGCCATTTTGCATCAAGCATTTTATTTAAATCTCACAATAGTCTCTGAAAAGTAGGTTTTGCTTTATTTCATTTGTAGATGAGTAGATTATAACTGAAGTAGGATATACGAATTGCCCTATGTCATATAACTAATTAGTGATGAAGCTAAGATTTTCTCTTTGATTTCTTTTACTATAAAGTTTATGCTTATAAACAGCATGTTAAGTGTATCAGTTAGTATCCAGCTCCCCTGCACGTGACAGTAACCTGACCACAACTCATTATCAAATAGGGCTTTTTTTTTTTTTTTTATTGCACAGAACAAGCAGTGCACTACTAATGCAGATGGTTAAAGGAATCCCCAAGAACCAAGCTCCTTCTGAAGCTTCTTCTTCCATTCTTAGTATGTGACTTTCACCCTCATTGTTACGAGATGGCTGTTCTACCTTCTGGTATCATGTTTGCATTCCAAACAAGAGGAAAAAGAAAAGCAAAGGAGGAAAAAGCATCTCGTACCAAAATTGTTTTGTTGTTGTTAATCCTCACCCGAGGATATTTTCCCATTGATTTTTAGATAGAATGAAAGGGAGGAAGGGAAGGGAGAGAGAAACATCAATGTGAGAGAGCACATTGATTCTTTGCCTCCCTCACGACCCTGGCCAGGGCCAAGGATTAAACCTGCAACCCAGGTACATGCCCTTTAAGGGAGAATTGAACCCAAGACCCTTCAGTCCTCAGGCCCATGCTCTAGCCACTGAGCCAAACCATCCAGGGCCTCTTACCTAAATTTAATCCTTCTTTCTTTATCAGAAAATTAATAATGTACCTGGAAGTCTTTCATAATATAAACCAATTTATATCTCATTGAACAAATCCACACACATAACTATTCCAAGCTTCAAGGGAGTTGAGTAGTCATTTTTAAATAAAATTAATTGAGGTATAATTCACATATAATAAAATTTACACATTTTATGTGTATAGATCTGTGACCTTCCACAAATGCATACACTTGTGCAATTACTACCCCAGTCACGATATAGAACATTTCTATCTTGAGGAGGCAACATTAACTGAGCACTTTTTGCCATCTTGCACAAAATTGAGGTTTAGTTTTGAGAGGAACGAGTCAAATAATATTAAGTAGGCAACAGACAACATTGTTATACTAAGGCTAAATATTGCTGTAAATGATGGTTTGGAAAAGCAACATTGCAAAGTAAGAAATACCCATCGGTGGGAGAAGACTTCAATTATAAGTTACCTTGTTTTAAAACATGAATTGGACTAATCTCTCAGATCTATTTGTATCTCCATTTAAAAATATTAAAAAGTATATTTCAAAAAGGTCTTGAATGTGTCAAAAATTATGGTTTAGATCCAATGAAATAATTTATGTGAAAGCAAATTAAGATCTATAAAGTTCTATTCAATATAAAGAATCGTCTTTTTTCCCATGCTTACAGGTGCTTCCTTTTGAAAACAATCATGAACTTGACTTACTGGCCTGAAATATCACAATTGTGAAATTCAAATATAGTTGTAAATGTACTAACTCTTTAATTTAGTAATGGCCTATAAAACCAGGGCAACATGCAGCTCGAGGCAGAAGCAGTTTTTACATTTATATTCTTATCAGTTCTCTTTCAAACTCTTTCTCTTTCTTTTTTTTAATAATTGTTTTTCCTTTATTGATTTTAGAGAGAGAGGAAGTGAGAGGGAGAGAGAGATAGAAACATCGATGACTGAGAACATTGATTGGCCGCCTCCTTCATGCCCCCACCTGGGGATCAGGCCCACAACCTGGGCATGTGCCCTGACCAGGAATTGAACTGGTGACTTCTTGGTGCATGTGTTGATGCTCAACCACTGAACCACACTGGCCAGACTCAAACTCTCTGCCTTTCAATTGGTTAAAAATAGCAATAAATGTATAATTTCCTGAAACTATCAAAACCTAAGGACATTAATGTCTAACAACTTTTTGTATGATTTCCATGTTATTATACATTTTACTAAAAAATCTTGATAGTATTATGTATTCAATGGGAAATATAAATTTTATTTTGAGAACTTGAACTTCTTATAAAATGAAATGATGCTGAAGTTTTTTTTTTTTTATTTGTTCTCTCTTTTGAAAAGAAAACACTCTCTTGAAATTCACTCCTTGGAATCAGTTGCAAAAAGTTAAAAATCAAAACCTATTGTGAGATTTTGAGGACAATCTCTAGAACCTGAGCCCTTGATGAAATCAAATCATTTTTATTATTTATTACTTTCAGAGTTCTGTCAGAACACTACTCTGAACTTAAATATCTTGCTAAAATGTGGCTTTTTCCTGCAGACTTTTATCATAACCAGTGTCAACCAATACTAGTCTTTCTTAGTAATTATAATTTGTTTGTAACTGAACATTATATTTGTGAAGCTATAATAGTCTTCATGAAAGTAATGTATCTTATAATCCAGGGTACTCATTTCTTCTGGCCAATTACTTTTTTCATGAAAAATGGTTTATTATTATTTTACGTTGAAGGCTTTGTGTTTTGTTATTAAAAATTTCAGGATGGATTCAGCACTGGCTTTGTTGGTCCTTGGGGAGGCTGCCAAACTAAACATGGCCTGCTTGAAAACTTTAATGGACCTAATGAGAGATTTTCTTTTGAGCGTTATGACTGTTCAGAATCAGGTAACAGTATATTTGTTAATTTTGTGCAAAAAGACCTAAATAGAAAGAAAAAAATTTTGCTACTATTTAAATTGTATACCATATTAGGGCTTATGAGCATAACTGTAATAATAATTGTACTTAAATATAAATGTAAATTTTTATTTATCATATATCCCAGTATGGATTGATTTGATTGATTGATAGATACAGATGTATATAGAGCTAAAGCTATAGAAGTAGATTATATATCTTCACAAATACACACATACATGAGAGGGACTTTAAATTTTATTAACAAACGTGAAATTATATAGTTATATATGGTTGAGTTTCCTCTTTAACTTTTTAAAAAATATCTAAAAACATTTTTTATTGTTACTAGGTTTTATTAAAATTTACATTTTAGTAGGGGTGAGATAATTTAATTATTGTTTTTTTGTGTGTACGTGCCCCTAGCGGGAACTGAACCCGAGACTCTCTGGTCTGCAGGCCAATGCTCAACCACTGAGCCAAACTGGCCAGAGCAGATAATATAATTATTGTTAAACATTAAGTTTGTGTCTAATTATTCACAGTTAGTTATAAGTAATGTTAAACAGAGATTTTCATACATACAATTTTTATTTGCATTTATGACTCTTTCTTTAGACTAGATTAATAAATTACATTTTTATAGTCTTAGGACAGATGTCCACATTCTTTTCCAGAAGATATGTTTCTTGCTTTCCTGTGAAAAAATGTATAGAAATGCCACACTTTTTTTTCTGATAGACTCATTTAATTTCCTTTCTGAGCAAGGTCAGATTCATACATCTTGTTACCTTAAGATTTGATAAGCACACACTACAGAGAGTCCTGTATATGCAGAACCAAAGGCTAGAGTTGAGTTTTCCATAACAAAGATTCTTTTAAAATATGATACAGAATAATTTACATTCCATTGATTACTAAGGAAATAAAAAGTTGTTCTCCATATACTTTTTTACTGTTTGTATTTTATGTTCTTTGAATTAGGTATAATGCAATCTACCCATGTAAAATCTGTGTTTTAATGAGTACATTTTAGGAATATTAGTAGATTATGTTCTTTGAACAACTATAAAATTTAAAGACACTTCTTATAACTACAGTATATATAGTTCTTGTTATGACAGAATATGCTTGGATTGTATAATAGCAATTTTCTTATTTTAGAAAGAAAACGGCAAGGTTGATGATTTTTCCTGGGCCTGGAATATAGTCTACTCATATATAACAATTCTTACAGAAATCTGCATGTATGCCACCATTTCTAATTTGCGAAAAGCTGCTTTTGTTGGTTTCTGTGGCTGTAAAAGTTCAAAAACATGTATTTTACCCATGGACAAATCAGAAGAACAGCCAGAACTGAGGGAAACAAGTATTTTAGGTCTTTTGAACTATTTCTCTTCAAAAATGTCAGATAATTGTAAGTAAATTATCTTTCAACTTGATAAGAAGTATTTTTTAAAAATCCTTGGCTACATTTAGTAATAAGCCTTTCACAAAAAGTCCGCATTTTAAAGTTGGAAATAATTTTAAATTTAGTAGGGCTTTTTAAAATTTAGGATGAATATTTTAAACATGGAAATTTTTGGTCAATAATTTGTTTAATCTTTATTGTTGAGAGTATTACAGATGTCCCCCTCTCCTCCACTGATCCCTCCTCTCTCCTCCCCACTCCTTCCTTCCCCATATTATTGCCTGTGTCCATTGGTTATGCATATATGCAAATCAGTTATTTGGTTTATCTCTTCTCACCCCACCCCTCATCTCCCTTCCCTCTGAGGTTGATCAATAATTTTAAAACAACTGAAATATGAACTAGAGTTAGTTGATTTATGATTCAAATTATATTCCTTGAAAACAAAAGACGACATGGGGAAACATGAAATGTATATAGTTTGTTTTATTCTTTTTCACATAAGGCCTTCTAATCTATCTTCTCTATGTTTCTCTAGGCATCTACTCTTTTTCTCTTGTTCTTTTCCCATCCAGAAAACTTCTCTGCAAAATCTCAAATAGTTTAGTACATTCTTCACATATGACATCTCATACTCCATCAAAATATATCCGTCTCAAAATTAAAGATTATTTTGCTACTGTTGTGTATGGGGGCCATAAGAATAAAATACTTTTATTTTTAAAATGGTACTACAAGGACAATATACATTCAAAAGTATCCTTTTAGGTTGACTAGAACTTTTCTTTATGAATATGATTGCAATAGGTGTTATTATAGTCTGTTACGTATAAAACTATCATTTCCATTAAATTATGAGATAATTAAGACTGAAGAATCATGTCTGAATTATATTTGTATTTAACCTAGTATATAGCAGAGTATTTGGCACATGCTAGGTGGTCAGTTCATCACAGTGGATTTATCATGTAATTAAACAAACCACTGAATTTAAAATATAATTGCAAGATTTTGAAAGAATCAAAGGAGGCAATACACTGTCTTTTCTTAGGACCATAGTTATTTGTTATCTCTGAATACAGTTTTAAATAATAAGACCTTAGTAGCAGACATTCATTTTACTCTAAAAAACTTGCTTGCTATTTTAAATTACTTTTCAATATACTTTTGGTTTAATCAGTGGGTTGAAATCTGTCATTTTTTAGTGCAATTTGCTTGGCATTTCCCACTTTCCAAGATTTTTTATTTTTTATTATTGCCAATTTTAAACAGATCTTTAGTCTCTGGTACCCAAATTGTATTTCTCCCATATTTATAGTATTGACAAAGAAAAGTGTATTCACTTATTTTGTTGTTTATACTCTTAAGTATTGAGAATGGTCAGAAATCTTCCTGATATATGATTATGGCTTTTGAACCACCACTAAATGATTTATCTACAAACTTGAGGTCTTCAACGTTTTTGTCTAGCTGTATAGAATTAGTTCTTTCTGTCTTGTTTCACTGTGATAGGTTCAGAAGTTGTTTCTCAATGGGGAGGGTCTTTACTCCCAAAAGCCTGCTGGCCTCCCTTTGGCTATGACCCCTGAGCTCTGACATAATCTCATGATGATGGGGTTGCATCTTTCTGTGGATGCTCAAATTTTTTTAACTCCTCAGTGGTCTGATTTTTTTTCCAGCCAGTTGATGATTTTGTTGTATTTATTTGTTCATTGTTTATTTTTTTAAAGTTTCTTATCTTTTTCTGAATACTTTATTTTGATAGTATAGGCACAGAATTTGGTAAATTCTTGGAAGAGATTTTTGCATTTTATTCTTATTATCTACAGCTTTATATTGCCAGCACCCTGGGTAACACACCCCAAATTTTCCTAGCTCAAATATTATTCTCTTTTCCGGTAATTCTTCCTGTGTCAACAGAAGACCTATTGAGAATTTTATTGGCATTTATGTAAGCTTTCTTCTTTTTGAGCAATTCTACACATTATAGAGAGCCATCTGTGAGCTTGAACTTGTCAAGTTTATAGTCATCCTTGGTCATTGTTTTCTCATCTTTATAAGTCTGAATGAGCACACTTGTTTCTACTTGGCATTATTGAATTAAATACCAAAGGAAAAGCATGCTATCCAAGAAACAACAAATTCTGATTGTTTTCATATGTGAGATGGCCACTTGGATACTGTACTATAAGTGATGGTCTCAGTAAAGGTTGATGCTTTTGTTTATTTACTGAATAAGTCTTGTAGGAATTTCTGAATCTCATTGTACCAAACACTATACAATATTATGGATCAACAGTTTTCTTTACAAATCATGTGGTATCAGCATTTTATTCTTTTAAATGGCATTGTAATAGAGAGGTAGAAGGCAATCCCTAACAGACTGAGTTCTGGAAGGAGGTGCCCTTTGTACATTCAATAGTGCTGCAGATGGATGACTCTTTTGCTTTCCCTGATGTCCTTATGCTTTCACTTGAACTCAGGAATAAAATATTTAAGCAGCATTTTGTCAATGTTTTCTCACCCCAAGTGAGCAAATGAGCAAACAGATATTTCTAGCTGTGGAATACTTTTGAAATTTGATCTGCAACAAAGAGGCTAGACATATCAAAATTGCCTCCTCCACAGTCAAAAGTCAATGCATTTTCTATGATATCAAATTTCTTGTACAAGCCATACACAATAGTGGCATTTGTCTCATAATGATTCTGAGTATTTTGAAACCTTCAATACTTAAAGCATCCCCGTGGTTTCTGGTGGGAAATGTATAAGTCAGTTGATTATCTGATGACTGTTTTGTTAAAGATATCTCAAGAGTGTGAGAAAATTCTGCACTTTTCTTCATCTCTGTCAGAATTGGAGAATGTATCTTCTCTGGACATAAAATTTTAGTCTCCTTCTAATGTTTGTACTAAATTTTTGGCTTTCTTGTGACAGTCACTGCCATAAAAAGTATTACTTTACATGACTGTACCAATGCAGTCAAATATCTCACCAGTCAAATGATAGGGCTTAAAGATGGTGTTGATTCATTATAACCTGAATCTTTGTAGCATCACAGATTGATTTTCTACATGGGGAAATTATTTTGTCTGGGTTTTCCTGTATCCATGATCCCTGATAATGATCACGCATTCTACAAGACCACAGAAGATAACTCCAATAGTAGCATTCTCCCTTCAGGCCTTGTCAGCATAATTGCTGGAGAGGATATGTGTCTTTTGAGAAAGTAATATAAAGAACCTGGAGCTGCTACTTTATTTAATTGAAAGGAATTTCTTTATCATAATTTTATCCTTCAAGTAAGTAATTTTTGTTGAGAGCGAAAGAACTGGTTCTGGTGTCCCATGGATTTGTTTTTTAATTCTGTCACTTGTATCTCAGAAATCTAGGTCAAATTATTTAATCTAGCTGACTTGATTTCTTTACCTGATAATTATGATAAGAATACTATTTATATCATAGAGCTTTTTGTGAGAAAAACCTATGGAAACATATAAACACTTGGCATAGAACTTTGTGCATAGGAAAGATCCGAATGTTAATGGATATTATCATCGTTCATATAGTAGTTAATGCCCTTGTAATGATGAGTAAACATCAGTGAGGAAGGTTTTTTTCTAACACTTATTTGTATGCATACTTTGTATCCTGGGGATTCTATTTTATTTACATATAAAGAGATGACACTAAAAACATTTAAAAATGGTATTAATAGCCTTTTTATAAACAAACCAAACAGCGTTCTTATGGACCATTTTTATATAAAGCCTTTAATATAAATAAACACTTCAAACCATAATTTTGTGAAGATATTGTTATAAGAAACTAAAATAATGACTTCCATGACTATAATTTTCTGGTGATCTGAGCTGATATAAGAGCCAACTTGAAGAATCTATAGGAATGAATGACTATTTAGCCTGTCCCTCTTTCATTCTGAGATTTTGTGTCATACAGCTTTTCATAGAGTCAGATGTCTGTTAATTCTATAGTGATGTCTCTTGCCTGTGACTGAAGTGCTGAGTTGTGATTTTGATTGAATAGAAATTTCTATAGATGCTTATAAATACTAACTATGCACTTAACAGTTGGTTGAAACTCAAGTGTCTGACTTACGTTATGCCTTTGATAGAAGACTATTCTACACATTTGCTGCTTTGGACTGAGTGTGTCCCCTCCACAAGTCTAATGTTGAAACCATAACACCAAATGTTTACAAATAGGGCCAAAAAGGAGGTAAATTTAATGGGGTCATGGCTGTGGGGCCCCAATAGGAAAGAATTAATGTCCTTATAAGACAGTGTACTTCTTTGTTTCCAATCTGGATGCCTTTTATTTCTTTACTAGAACCTTTAGTAAAAGGTGAAAAGAAGTGAATGCAGACATCCTTATCTTTTTTCTGATCTTAGAGGAAAGCATTTAGATTTTCTCCATTAAGTAAGATGCTAGTTGTGGGCTTTAAATTGATAGTTATTATATGTGTGAGGAAAATCTCCAGTATTACTTATTTTCTGAGTCTTTTATTAAGAAAGGGTATTAACTTTTGTCAAATACTTTTTTCCCCTGTATCTGTTGACATGATCATGGGATTTTTGTTCTTCATCCTATTAATTTGGTATATAAGGTTAACTGACTTTAAGATCTAAACAAATTTTCATTTTTCAACTCCAGAATTTTTATTCTATGTCTTATTTTATTGGCCATATAATATCACATGCCCATTAGCAGTGGAAATTGAGCCCTTGTGATTGCTTTAAACAATTCAAGATGTATTCAAAACCACCCAATACCTGAACAAGATTATAGTTCTTTTATCAAGAATGGAGAAAGAAGGGGCAATTTATGCATAGGCAACCAATTAAGCCACAAGTTTGAAATGGTCATTATTAAAAACTATATTATTTTTAAACTTCACATCTTTACATAGGTATAACATGGTACATTTAGTGTTCCTGCATTGCAAGAATGTTGGTAATACTCTGTGCAATACAAAAGTTATAATA